CACCATGCTTGGCTAATTTTTTTCTATATATTTTTAGTTGTCCAATTAATTTCTTTCTATTTTTAGTACAGACGGGGTCTCGCTCTTGCTCAGGCTGCTCTCAAACTCCTGAGCTCAAATGATCCATCCGCCTCAGCCTCCCAGAGTGCTAGGATTACAGGCGTGAGCCACCCCGCCCGGCCTCCCTGAACTAATTTTTACAATTTTAGGGGGCTGATGTTGCCCTCAGTTAAGAATTCATGTGTTCTATATGTACTTATATCTTCATGGATCATCTCTGGAAGGATCTGTAAAAGACTGAGAACAGCTCTCAATTCTGGGTGCAGTCTGGGAGGGTCAGAAGTGGGAGACTTCTTGGACTGTATCACTTTCTACAAGAGATGAGGAGAAAATAAAGAAAGCTCTCCCAGTTGCCGAGACAAATAACTATCTTGTGGGGGAGGGTGAGGATCACAAGAGTGCACCTGCTGAGCTCCCCTCATTTGTCCCAGGCTGGCTGTGCATCCGGAGTGCTAATGAGGCCTCCAAGTCTCCAGGAAGCCCTGTGTTGGAGGAGGGCGGCGGTTGCTCATATCTCAGAGGAGGGTTTGTTTGCCTGGCTTCAGTGGCTCCCTTGACAGCCTCTTCTTCCCTTTTCCATGTAAGAGTCTTTCGAGATTCTCTGTTTTCCACAAACAACTCCAAATTGGAAGAAGGAGATTTGTTAGTGAGTTCATTAACTCTTTGCTAGAATATACCTAGCCTGCCTTTATCTCTCCTGGAACCCAGAAGTCCTCTTTGAGGTTATCACGATGAAACACACTCCCCACTTATTCATTGTTGCCTAACAAATGAAGATTGTGCTGATCCAACAGTGCATTTTAGAAAAAAGGGAGTTATGGCAGAGAGAGCTGGTAGAACCAGGATAAGAATTTTGTTCTAGCTTCTAAGCTTTGCTCTTATCCACTAAACCGCACCCCTGATCTGGTGCCACAGCTCTGTGTGTCATGGAGAACTGAGCCCCTAATGGACCAAAACACTGGAGACCCTTTCATGTATGTGAAGCAATCAAGGGAGTGGAGACCAGAATTAGAACACAAATAAAATACAATGGCATGGAACAGAATCGAATAAAGTAGAAAACAGAGTGTGTCCCATGTGGTAAAGATAAAACTTGTTTTGTAAAACTTTGAGTTTAGTTCCTTATGTATACTGGGGGCACAGTCAAAATGTATTTATTGTAATTATTATGTAACCCTTGAATTGTAATTATAAAGAAAAATAAAAATCTCAAGGACCTCCCCCCACCAACTCCTTATGCAAAAGCAAAAGTCAAGCCTGGAGGCTGAGTCATGCAACAGCCTTTTGCAAATGAATAGCTGTTACCACCATTTCACAACAGCCAGATCC